TTTTTACATTAAACATGAAACGAGCACAGACTTGAACACTTCAAATCCTTAAAGGGATGTGAAGAAATGACTATATTAAGTCCGGGGAGGCAAACTGGTATATGGAAAGTAGGTAGAAAAATTTTCAAATACATCTTATACATGAAAAATTGGGAGCAATGCTGCAATGAGAAAGACTTTTTCAAAGCGTAAAAAAAAAAAAATTACTAATTGAAAATTATATAAAAAAATTAAAAAATTACTTTTACCCTCTTTTTATTATCATATTAATTTTTGAAAATAAAAGAATAATCTTGTAAAAAAGAAACCTTTAGAAAAATTGAAAAAAGAAAAAAATTTTCTTCAATCAATTAACTATAAAGAAATTGAAAAGTCTTAGTGATCCGGTGACTATTTATATTTTAATGAAGATATTTTTATACATATAAGAAATGTGAGGTTTTAATTTCATTTTTTTGTTATAAAAAAATCCTAAATAAATTATAGTATTAATACGGTCATAAAAAAATTATAGTATTAATACACATTTTATTTTATTTTTTTTGACAATTATTAATACACATTTTAAAATTTTATTATCAATGTTTTTTAACCATTTTCCATGTTGCTGAGCACTTGGAGGGTGATTTTTTTTTTTTTTAATTTATGAAAGGCCACTTGGAGTTTGAATTATTATGAAGATTTTGATTTTAATAAAAAAATGAAACTTCCTTCGCACTCTAGTAAGTGTAAGTCGCAAAAGTATCTTAATTTCGGAATTCGGAATTATTTCAGTAGCATTTTGTTCATAGATAAAAGGCGTAAGGGACAAGCGCCGTTTAAAGTTCTAAAACCCCGAAGTCCGGACGGGCAGAACCCCATTTCTCTCCCTTCGCCAGCGCTCGCACTCTGTTTTTCTCCAAACAGAATTTTCCGATGGACGTCGACCCCGACGACGTTTTCAGAGACGATGATGAAGATCCTGAGAACGATTTTTACCTGGTTTTTATTTTTCCTGCTTTTTCTTTTTTTTTTTTTTTCTTTTGGTAATGTGTGTTCGGAAAAACTCGATAATATAAGAACCAATAATCCCTACCTTTTTTACAGCAAAAGGAGGCCACCAAAGAATTTGCTGTGTATTTGGTTGATGCTTCTCCTAAGATGTTCAGCACTACCACTCCTGGGGTGAGTTCACTTCATTCAAAGATTTTTTTTTTTTTTTTTTTTTGCATTTTCTGTAAATTTTTAGGATTATTGTTTTTAATTGATGTCTTTATTTACTATGTTCTCTAGCAAGTTTCGCTGCATAAATTTCATTTTTATATTTTTTAATTGACTTTATTAGTATTTTTTTACTGCTTACAAAATAGCAGGACTATGCTAGCTTCTTGTTGTTTGACGTTTCTTTTGTAAATATATTCCAACTTCTCAACATGATGATTTTTTCTGCTATTTGTGATTGTAATTCAACCAACGATTCGTGATTGGAATATTGGCAGGAGGATCAAAAGGATGAAACTCATTTCCACATTGCCATCAGTTGTATTGCACAGTCCTTGAAGACTCAAATTATAAGTAGATCATATGATGAAGTTGCAATCTGCTTCTTTAACACTGTAAGATGTTGTTCTAGCATTTTGTAACATTTAGTTTTTCAACTGAATTATTTGATGCTCAACTCTTTGATTCTTACTATGGTTTGACTTTTCTCCTTTCATGGCTGCAATTGGGTCCTAGAGTCCCTTTAGGACAAAAATAGCAAGGTAAGGCTTGGAGTAGAGGGATGAAGTTTTTTGGTCTTTGAGATGTGAATTGAGAGAAAAACATTAACCATGGCGAAGATAGAAATTAAGTAAACTGCAGTTTTCTTTTGGAACCTTAAGTGTTAGGATATTGGGGGAAACAGTTGTCATCATGTGAACCATGACTTTAGTTGATATTTAATTGATCAAACAAGTAAAAAACGTTGTTTTGCCTGAAGTACCTTGTAGCCATGTGCTAGCAATGTGATTACAGTAATCAGTCATTCTGGTTATTGTAATTTGATTAATGTTTGTTGCAAAGATTCCTTAGAGGATCAGTGTATGTTACTTCTTTGTTCATGAACATCTCAATAAGCATGATGAGTATTATTCAGGTTCTAAAATTCAACAGCTAGCCAGAAAGTGGAACATCTCCTAACTTGATCTAAAATACTCCTTTGCATGCTAAGCTTGTGTGCTACATGTTGATATTCGTTTTTATCTTTGCTTTCTGAATGCAGAGGGAAAAGAAGAATTTACAGGATTTAAATGGTGTCTTTGTTTTTAATGTTGCTGAGAGGGAGCACCTAGATAGGCCAACAGCAAGGCTTTTAAAAGAATTTGATCACATAGAGGGTAAGTCTTCTGGGATTAATCCATACCATATGATGGTGGACATGACTGCATGCTCTCTAATCATTTTGTGTTAAAATTGATTCCATAAATTCTAAGATACTTGTTAAACAAAAGGTGCTTAAAGAACTACATTTTAAAAGCTTATCAAAATTTTAATTTATTTTACTTAAATCTTAATCACGCTTTGGTCAAAGAGTTGAAGTGTACAACCTTTTACCAAGGTTTAGTTGCACTTACATTCTGGGTTTCTTTCAAGGTATTCGTGATATTTTGTTTGTCAAATAAAAATATTTTCCATATAATGTGTTGTAATTTTAAAAAGTAGAGGATTTCATTCATCATCTATAGTTTCTATGTTCTATAATTTTATTAATTTATTTTAATTATGATTTCACTAATGGACCTTGCCTGGATCTAGAACTCATTTTAAGTTCTGTCTTATATGCAGTTTAAAGTTTGATTATTTTTGTTCATTTTTTTCTCATATTATTTTGCATGTTATTTTACATTATGAAGTTTTAATATGCCTTATGTTTTGCTTATTATAAATACATAAAGGATTATGATTTATGAATTCACTATATTGGGCTGGGCCGATATTCATGGTTTTCAGTTTTCACTCATGCATCAAGAATATGAGCATACAGAAATATGTTTTTCTTTTCCAGGTAACAAAAGGAGAATTTTATGTAAATTGTAATTTGCAGAATCTTTTATGAAAGAAATTGGAAGTCAGTATGGCATTGTGTCTGGTTCTCGAGAGAATTCCCTTTATAATGCTATATGGGTAGCCCAAGCTCTTCTACGTAAAGGGTACAGTTTCCTGTTGGAGTCTTATGCCTAAGCTAGGAATATACTTTTTATTTGAAGTTTCCAGTGTAGATTTTGGTAATGTCTGATGATGAAATGTTCTCAGGTCTGCTAAGACAGCTGATAAACGAATACTTCTCTTTACGAATGAAGATGATCCTTTTGGGTGTCTTACTGGTGCAGCAAAAGCAGATATGACAAGAACTACTTTGCAGAGAGCTAAAGTATGTTTATTGCAATAAATGTGAAATTCCAGACACACAATTCTTCAGTGATCTAATATTGCATTTTATCAAAGTAAATTTCATTTCTGACAAAATATGACCTTTCTTTTTCTTCTCTTTCCAGGATGCACAGGATCTTGGCATTTCAATTGAGCTACTCCCCTTGAGTTGTTCCAAAGGGGTGTTCAATGTTTCTCTATTCTATGCTGTATGCTGGTCCTTCCTTGATTTGTTTTCTTGAGTGATTTCTGTAGTTGGTTATATGTATTGCTTTTGACACCAAGAATTTGTTGTTTCAGGATTTGATTGGACTAGAAGGTGATGATATTGCTCAATTCATGCCGTTAGCAGATCAAAGGTATTTGTTGCCTGCATATCTGACCTTTTCTTGAGTATACAATGTTCTTCTGAAACCAGTTTTTCTCTTTGTTCATTTGGAAATTGGAATCAACCTGAAGCCCATTTCTTGAAAGCTTTGAACAACTCTCATATAAGAAAATTATTTTCTTCTAGCTTAGGGATTCTGATCTAGGTTGTTGTTTTCTTCTTTCTTCTTCTTCTTTTTTCCCCTCAAATTCAATTAAGAGCTTTGATCTTTGTTGCTGGTTTTTTCAGTTTAATATTCCATCATGATCTGTGATTTAATAATGTAAGGGACATGGTATTAATGCTAAAAGAATTATTCAGATGTAAATTTAAGTTGTCTGTCTCTACATTACCTTTTTGCAAAAATATTTTCAATCTAATTTCAGATTGGAAGATATGAAAGATCAACTAAGGAAGCGTATGTTTACAAAGAGGATAATTAAGAGGATCACATTTTCAATTGCCAATGGATTGTCGATTGAGCTGAATACATATGCTTTAATTCGACCAACAGTTCCAGGTAAACATGGTTTACCTATGTTCTAATGGAATGTTGGATGTTAGTGAGTTGCTTTCTTCTGTGCTTGGTTACTATTTATTTCCATTCTTTTTTATTGCAGGGTCAATTACCTGGCTTGATTCTCTCACCAATCTTCCTTTAAAGGTATTGTGGAATTATCTTATAATGACTCATTGGTATATATGCTTGCACATACAGTGATACTAAAAGGGTCCTTGAAGTACTTTTGTTTGACGATTCAATGAAGTTTTATGTCTTCAAAATTCTTCCTCCTCCTTTTTCTTGTTCTTGTTCTTCTTCATTTTCCCCCATTTTAGGAGTTTTTGACTTATAGATTGTTTAATATTAATTCTCTAAGTTTTAACTCTCCTTTGAAATCTAGCTTCTGGACGTTACATGTACCCCTTTTCCGTAGGGATAAATGGTTAGATCTAGTCAATGGTTGAAATGATGGGAAACAAAATCTGGACCAGCTTCTATTTCTTTAGTGTAGGCTTCTTGTTGCCTTTTTTGTTTGAAATTTTTATGCTTTTTGGTGAGTTGTGAACTTGAGATTGCTTGAACCTTTATGGATTTGGATACCCCATGTTGCTACATTTTTTGTTCCTTCTGTCACAATTTGATCTTAATATCCTGCTTCTTGGGAAAGTTGAGATCTAGAATCATTGTACCTTAAAATGGAGTTCTTTCAACTATTTCAAAGTGGAATTTATATTTTGATCAACACAGATCAGACCTTGCTTTAGCTTTTCAGTCTGGTATGTTATGTCCCTATAGATTTATGCCTTAGTTTGATTGGGTAGGTAAATCAATGTTATTTGATTTTCTCTTTTGTATTTATTGGCCATTTCTGATCAAGTACAAGTTCAACTTTGTTGTTAACCATGCCTTGAAAATCATGTTTTGTTGTTCATCATCCTTTTAGTGCTGCAGTTTTTTAGTCAAGAAAGGAGTATGGTATACAAGGTGCAGCTGTCTCAGCTGTTGATTCTCATGTCTGTTTTGATATGGAACTTTGTACTGGGTGATAGGGCAGAAGGATGTTATTCAAAATTTCAAAATTTCCTTAACTCATTGGACATGCAGCATGGTGAATGCCAAGACTCATTAAAACATTGACATTGAGGGATCAGTCAAGGGAGTCTCTGCATCATAACATCTTTGGTTGCAGACTTTGATTAAGAATATCTTGTTGTGTTTGAATTGGTCCTTCTGAGGTGTCTAACTTATCTAACAAATAGTTCTTGGTTGCCAAAGAGTTTTTGAAGGAGAGGGAATATTACATGCATTTATGCAGTTCATCTATGTTAAATAGACAAGTGGACCCACTTACAATATATTTTTGGAAAAACATACCAGTTTGTTGTTTCCCTCAAAAGGGTAATATATCTGTAGGATTAATTTGCCTTTAAGCTGTATTAAATGGTAAACAGTTTTCACAGAGAAGAAAACTTCTTGTTGTCATGGTTGTTGATCAAATGCCTTTCTAGTTTCTACTCCACATTCAGAGATAATGAATAATCTATAGTTAGAAATGGATTTTAGAAAGGTATTTCCTGCTTTTTGAAATGATTCTGTAGTAGCATATCATTCATTTCGTTTCTTTTCTAGATCAGGTAGTTATGCGGTAAGGTGTTGATTTAATTAGGTTTTTTTATGACTTTTTCCAGATTGAAAGATCTTTTATCTGTGAGGATACGGGTGCATTGATTCAGGGACCTCCTGAACGTTTTCATCCCTATAAAAAGTAAGCAAATCTATTTCACTTTAGTGCTTAGATTACCACTGATTGCATTTTGCATACTTTTATCTTATAACTTTTGGGGTGCTTTATTAGTTATTTTCTTTCGGGATACTAATCACTTTTAATTTCTCTTGTTTATTTATATTTTCTTCTGATGAAGAATATTGTGGAAATGATATTTGACATTCTTCTTTGACAATATTGTGGGAAAGGCTTTTAATTTGTAAGAAATATTTAATTTAAAAGCTATATTTTATTTTTGATTTGATTTGTTTTTATTATCAATTGAGTAATTTACAGAATGAAACATAAAATTACTTTTAAGAGACTAAAGGAAAATGAATCTAATATGTTATTCTGGCCAAAACAAATCTTATATATTATCATTGAAAAATTGTAACCTATTCAATTGAGTACTAATAATGATGCTGCTACCATGATGATCTAAAAGTTTGTTCTACAAAATTCCTTGTCATAATTCCCATAATATTGGTCCATAATTGTTGGGCTAATTTATTGGTATCTCAGACTTGTTTATGTCTTGTATTTCTGATGAAATGATTTTTGTTTTTTGGTCATTTTATTTTATTTATTTTTGCCTGAAAATGATGTTAGTTTTCTGCTCTGATTTTGGCCTTATTGTTTTGTCTACCCTTCAGTGATAATATTAAGTTCTCAATGGATGAACTATCTGAAATAAAAAGAATCTCAAGTGGGCAACTGCAACTTCTTGGGTTCAAGCCATTAAGTTGCTTAAAAGATTATCACAACTTGAGGCCATCAACATTTGTTTATCCTAGTGACAAGGTTAATTCAAATCCTTATATAGTTAGGTTTCATTTTGAAAGCTCTTATTTATTGCCTATCGTACTTTACTAGAGAGTGGTGCTTATTCTTGGTGGCTTATTCAATTCTTAAATGTTGTAAAGTTTTTGGTCATGCCTGCAGCTTTATCATTTAGTCTCTTCATATATTTATGACCTCTCTGTAGGAAGGTATAGATTTTGGTCTTGCCTATAGTTACCCTTAATAGAAAGGCAAGTGAATACGCATTGTGCATATTTCACTGAAAAAAATAATTTTGTATACTGGTGTCAGTCAAAGCACTCTTTGTAAACCTTATGGACTTAATCACTAGCATGTAAAAAAAGTTCCTTAATTTTAGAACAGGAAAAGAGAGAGAGAGAATGAAAATGTAATCATGATAGATATTTAAGGTTCCATGGATAAGTCATGAATGAATTGAAAAGGTGTTCTGGAATGTTAAACAAGTGTGTAGATTTTACATCTGGTAGGAAAAGGGATGATGCAGAATTTAGTCATCTTTTCAGATCAATAGCATCTATCCATCGGCCAACTATGCCTATGCATTTCTCACTTAATTTTTAAAAAATACCAAAAATAGAAAAAAAATTTGGATTAGGTGCAAGGCACTCTAGACGGAATCAAACACCCAGGTCCACCACCTAATGGCTTGGCAAGGCAGTAGCCTGTTGCCTAAGCGTGCTTTTTACAACAATAACATTCCTTGAGTTTGATCTGTACTTTTAAGCAATGAATGGTGCTTGGTTGATTGCTTGTGGGAAGAGAATTTTCTTGATATATTTCATATTTCCTAATGCGTTTATATTGCTTGTGTTTTGATGTTTAATTTCTCTTAAGATCCTTTCAGGACTACTTACAATAACTGACACTGTAGCTTGTTGTCCTATCTAGGAAGTGGTTGGAAGCACCCGCATTTTTATTGCCTTGCATAGATCCATGATGAAGCTTAAGCGGTTAGTAAATGACAATTGTTTCTAAATTCCCCTATACATTTCCCTCTCCTTTTCCTTTTCTAACACTTTACCTCATCTGTTTGGTTGTTTGGAAAATGGTCGTAACTATGTTTTTAATGGAAGTTTTTTTACTCCTCCATGTTATTGGAACAACAGAATGGCTGGATGGGAAGCTTATAACTGTTAATTGCATTATCTTGTAAACAAAACTTGTAGAAAAGGTGATAAATCTTGCACCAAAAATTTAAAATTAAATGCAGTATGTTGTTCAAGATGAGTCTCCTCTGCCTGAGGATGTCCTTGATCTGAGTGACTAAATTAAATTTGACAAAGTAATTATAAAAGCAAGAAATATAAGTACCAAGCAGGTCTTTTATATCTGCATTCTTTAATTTTTTCAACTTTCATTTCTGTTTCTGTTCATGGCATTAATGAGGAGGCATCATGTATCTGTGTTTTTGTATGTGTGTGATCTCTGATAGTATACTAAAATATTCAACTTGGCTTGCTATTAAACAGTGCATCTTTCTAATACATCTTTAATTTCTCATACAAATGTTGAATAGTTTTGACATTACTCTAACAAAGTGTTGCAAATACTAGTGAACTTTTGGTGGGCTCTGCCTTTTTTCTTTTATTTTTTAATCAGCATTTTGTGAGCTATGCTTTTGCAGTTTTGCTGTTGCATTCTATGGCAGCTTATCTCATCCTCAATTGGTCGCTCTAGTTGCACAAGTAAGAAATGCTCCTTGCTTGATTGACTTATTATAGTGATGAATGTTACCAGTTGATGAATGTCACGATCTTGTTAAAACTTAACAGGATGAGATTATTAATGCTGGCGGTCAGGTTGAGCCACCAGGAATGCATATGATATACCTTCCGTATTCTGATGACATCAGAGATACTGAAGAGGCAAGCAAACATTTTTTATTCTAGAGTATGTAAATTCAATTTCAAGGCACATGACAGCTAATGAGATGGGTGGTATTTCACAGTTTGATTTAGATACAACTGGTGTTGTACCTCGAGCAAACGATGATCAAATTAAAAAGGCTGCAGCCTTAATGAAACGTATTGATTTGAAAGGCTTCTCAGTGTGCCAATTTTCTAATCCTTGTAAGTTCTATACAATGTAATTCTGTTGGTTAAGAATTCGTCAAGTGTTTTCTCTTTTAAACTTTACCATCTAAGGTATTTGCATTCTGCACTTATTACTTTAGCTAGAATCAAAGAGTAATTCCAAGAATAGAAAATCTTTATGCTCTTTTAACATGGTTGAACTGTGCATAGTTGTGGAAACTAGCTGAGCCACTCAAGCTTGATTTTCTAATATGCTTGGCACAACTTCTCATTTTATAAACAACTGAGCTTGAGCTCAAGTTCTATTTTTTTTTTTTTTTTTTTTGGGATCTGAGCTCAAACAACAAAGCAAGCCTTCGGAGTTTGACTTGAGCTGCCACTACCTATGTCAAACTGAGTTTTGGCTTTCAGTATCAGAATCATGGTTTGCAGATATTTATTTATTTTGTTTGTTATGCCGTGCTCACCTATTTAGCTCCCCTTTATATTAGCTTTAAATTGCTCAAGAATTATGGGTTTCCTGATGCTCAGGCTATGTTAACTTTATGTTTAGCAAGTATTTTCATCTGCTTTACAGCAAAAGTATAATTGAGTCTTCTGCTTCTCTTTCCATTCTTTGAGGGGGTGGAGAGAATGGCTTTTGATTTGTTTTGTTCTTACTTTGAACTTGACTGCCTGCTATTGAGCTGGATAATTTCTTGCAGCTTTGCAGAAGCACTATGCAGTATTGCAGGCCCTGGCACTAGAAGAAGATGAGATTCCAGAAACCATAGATGAGACACTGCCTGATGAGGAAGGTCTGGCTAGGTAAGGACAAAATCAAGCTTCCCATCTTTACTGCATATCTTGGCAAAAAGTTGAAGACATATATCAACTTGGAATGGGATCATTTTGTATTGTCCACAGACCAGGAGTTGTTAGAGCAGTTGAAGAATTCAAGCTTTCTGTCTATGGGGACAACTATGATGAGGAAAGTGATGTCTTGGGTGATGGAAAAGCACGTGAGGCCGCAAGAAAACGTAAAGCAGTCACAGAAAATGATGCAAAGGAGTCTGCAAATTATGACTGGGCTGACCTTGCAGAAAAAGGACAGGTGAAAAAGCTGTTATTTGTGTTTCAAAAATGGTTTCAGTTTCTCTTTAGCTGTCAAAGTGAATGCAAAATTGTGCTGATTTTGCTCAATATGCCTGGCTGTTTTTCACTGTTTCTCTTTAGCTGTCAGAATGGGTCAACCATGGGTGATGGATAAATGCTACTAGCTTCTTTAGAAGACAAAATTAGTTTCTAGATAGCTAGAAGTTTAATTCTTTACTTTCTATGCTTTTTTGAAAGAGCTAGTGCAAATTGTCATTTTAGGTCTTGTTTTCTCTTTTTCCTCTAATATCTGAGAAACTAACACAAATGGGCTTTCTTCTCTTTTAGATAAGCTAATGTAGTCAATCCTCTCTTTAATTTACCAAAGCGCTTAAGCTCTCTTTGAACTATTAAAGTTTTTTTCTAAAACTTCTAGTCACCTTGATGATAAGGATTAAGAAACATTTCTTGGGTTAGTATAAGTTATTGTGCTTCTAAGGATCTCTTGTGCATGTGTTGCCTTTTATGATGCTTCATAGAAGTTTAATACTTTCTCTATTTTATCCCAAGATACTATTCATAAAGAAACTGTTTACCAGCTGAACCATTATTTAGTAGTTACCTGCTGGAGTCAATAATTTGCAGCTGAAGGATTTAACCGTAGAGAAGTTGAAGTACTACCTGACAGCGCACAACCTTCCTGTTTCTGGGAAGAAGGAAGCTTTGATCAGCCGAATATTAACTCACATGGGGAAGTAGAGGCTTGCTAAAAGTTGTCTTGTATGAGAGGTACATTATAGCGTCTCACCATGAATGCGGCATTGCATCGCTTTTGGTTTTCTTGTAGTACTAGTACCCTTTGTAATGCAAAAATCATGGTGTGGCTTTACATGATGCAACTCATATGCAGTACTTTTTAGAGGTAAGATAAGTTGGACTTCATTTATATCCTGTTCAAGGACTGGCAGTCTGTATCAGTGAATGAATCTGAAAAGTTTTCAAATCATTATAAATCGTGTTTTGGAGTGGTGTTATTGTCACATTCTTAATTATTAATGCTATATCTTTTTGTCTTAATCGATCATTAAACTCTTAAGGGTGTGGTAATAACCCCATCCATGTATTTTATTATTATTATTATTATTATTATTATTTTTGACATATTCCTGGTGGTTTGAGCAACACTTGAAGTTTGTAACTTCAGTTATTGGATAACTCTTAGAAAAGCAAGAAGTACTTTAACACTGCATTTGACTTGGTTTTAGCTTTTGTCAATCTTTTTAAAACTTAAAATTGGATTTATTAAAGATCCACATTTCATCCAACAAAAAAAAAGGATTTATTTAACCAAATAAAAGTGTCTGGATTACACCACTGAAACTAAACTATTGAATGAGTGGTTAGTTCACTAACAATGAGTGGTATTTTTTTAATAATTTTTATTTTATAATTTAATATAATTTTGTAAAGCCTAAATTGGAACACAAATCATTCTTAACTGAAACATAAAAAAGATATCGGATCAGTCTCCGGACTGAGACTTACTTGAATTTCTTCTGAAAATGGGCCAGCTTGAAAACATGATCAATTCGGTTGTAGCCTGATAGGGCAGTTTGGGCTTGCTCCAGCAATCTTGGTTATGGATCGGGCCGGAGGCCCAGGCCTAAATCTTATGTTTTTCCTTAAACCTCTCAAAAACCCATATCGCATTTCCCCTTGTGATCTCGAGTTTCTGGTTCATCTCTGCCCACAAATGATGTTTCCCAGTTCATCAATGGTTTCCTCAACAATCCGACTTCTTTAAACCCTAAACCTCTCCAAGGCCGAATTTTTGAAATACCCAGAAGCTCTAAACCTCCCGAAAATGTCTCTCTTTAGAACCCTCTTCTCAAGCCAAACAAATTCTTTGCTCAAAATTCGTAATCCGCTGTGTAAGTCTTTAACGTTTCCTTCGTTCTTCACGAGAACCCTAAATTCCTCTGCCCAAATCGATCCCGAAACAAGCAATGAGAGGGGCAATAACAAGAAGTCTCTCAGTGTTCTCTTTCAGCAAGCAGTGGGTTTGAGTGAGAGAACAGATACGAGTGGAAGCGAAAGCGAAGGGCAAACTGAGAACAGTGAGTTAAAGAGGAAATTGAAAGAATTTGAGAGAGATATTAGGGGTTTGAAAGCGAAGTCGAAAGATGGGAGCAGGGTGGGGAAGAAGAAGGAGAGGGTGGATGACAAGGAATCTGAGCAAGCAAGGAGATTGAGTGAATTGTTTGGACCGAAAAAGCAAGATGAGGGGGTGAAACTGAGGTTAAAGGTGGAAGAACCTAGGGTCAAAAAGGAGGTTTACTTGAAGCTTTCGCCTTATGCAGAGATTTTCGTTAAGCATTTGTATGATCAAGGGTATTTTAACAAGGCCACTTTCTTGCGAGATGGAAACTTAGATTTTGGTTATTTTGACAGTGACTATGGCAGGGATTATATCTATCACGCAGCAGATAAGTTTGGCAAAGATCATCAAGAGATTGCAAAGTGAGAATATTTCTTTCTTACATCTGTGTTTTTTCCTTACTCAATGAAACCTAATATTTGGAGATCTAAGTTTGCTTTTGATATTGTTTTACACCGTATGTTAGAGTCAGCCTGGAAATTCATTTTTGTGCAACTCAATTCTTTCTTGAACTTCACAGTTTATCGGGGTATTAATTGCATTTGGTTCCTGATTTACATATTAATTGTTGACTTGGAAACTTCTAAAGTATGAAATGAAGAAAAAAGAAGCGTATAGCAGTGTACGCTTATCTTCTTGTGTCTACTCTTAGCAACAACATTTCAAATGCGGGTAACTTGAAAAAATTGAAATGGCCTTGATCATAGATGACATCTAGGTTGCATTCTTGTTTTCCTAGACCATGATGTAAATATCTAGGTTGCGTTGAGAGCAAGTATCTAGTTTGCAGTCTTATCCATTGGGTAGCTACCATACTGGTGCAAGAGCAACCGCCAGAGGGAATCACTTATCTTTCACAGGATGATGTGGATGAGAGAGTATTCTTAAGGTAGTAGGCCTATTGTTTTCTTTCTAATGTACCAAAAAATTGAATTCTGTAGAATTTAAAGCATTAGATTCAACATAAATGAAACTGTTATTTAGCTTATTAATGATTGAGTGAAGAAATACTTAATCACAAACCATAATATTAGCAATGATGCATTTAAAGAATTGCAACATGTATTTTGCAGAATTACTGGACTAGTGGAACTGGACAAATGTTGGCATCTTCTCCAAAGTTCTGCTTTAGGATTAGCATACAATTGGTCCAATATGCTTAATAGAATTAAGCCTTGTCAATGACCAAAGTCAAGTGTCTGACTTGTTCTAACATCTTTTTTGATTTTTTTGTTGGATACATTTTCAACTTACCATTATTGTTCATGCAACATAAAGCGATGCTATATGTCCATAAAGTTCTATGAACTAATTTCTTCTCCTTGTTTTGGTCTTTCCCATCTATCATTTACAGAGTTGCTAATCTTTTTACATTTTCTTTATCAAATCCTTTTTCTATCACCGTAACATCTATGTTTGGATATGCAGATGGTTGTCAGGCAGTAATTTGAAAGAGGTGGCTCTCTTTGGTTGCCCTTCCCTCGCTAAAAGGAGTGTTTTTGCTGCTAAGAGGTTGCGCAAATTTTTTAAAATTGAAGAACAAACTGTAAGCAATTAATTCATGTCCCATTCCTTTCTGCCCATGGATTTATTGTTTATGCTGAAGAGAAAGCAGTGACATTATTTGTTTGTGGACTTGTGCTTACTACAGGTGTGTCGTAGATGCGTATTAAAAGATTCTTGCAAGCTTGCAAACAAGGATGTGTGGGGATCTAGTGTTGTGTCTTTAAATCTGAGTGATGTAATGAGGGTCATTCTCTTGTATGCTTTGGACAAAGCATCTCCACAGCTCACAGTGCCTGATAAAATTAAGGATTCAGTTACTTACTTGCTGAAGGAAGTTGTCAAGCTAAGTCGAACTACTTCATTATAAGGCTTCTTAGTACTGGTCCATTCGTGCAATCCCACTTTGCTGGTTTTGCCCTTGATCTACTCTGTAGCTTCCATCTGACCATATTTGACATAATCACAAGGTAATAGACTAAGAAGAAAGGATATTCAACATGACAGGTGATCAAATGCCCTTTGCCAATGCTTGGATCAAAATGTGGGAATGCAACTTTACCCGTAAAATACATGATTGCAAGATATAATTTAGTCAGCCTAACATTTGCCAGTAATTTTGATATGGATGCGTTTAACTATCCCCTTGAACTTGCACTTTGATTTGTCAAGGAAATTTTTCGTTAAATTTTATATTTAATCATTTATTATTAGTATATGGGAGGTTAAACTCTATTTACAGTCAATTTTTTATGAGGTAGGCAATTATTTTTCTCTCTTTTTTTTTTTTTGCCATTTTTGATGAAGTTGCATATTATTTTGATGTGGGGCTTGGGTTACCTTTGTAAACTGAATAAAATGTAAATTAGAGTAAATATGATATTTATCGCTCACATCCAGATTCTGCATGTACGAAACCATTTTTGAGAAAACAGTATTGTCTGTTGTTTCACTTTGCCATTCATTATCGTCAAAAGCCGTTAACACTGAATTCCAATTCAGAGAACATACATTCCAGTCCTCTTACTCCACTCCACTTTCCCACGGAGAGGCAAAAATCAACATTTAGTCTCTTATTTTATAAAATTGATAAATTTTAATCCCTCATTTTATAACATAATAGTTTTAGTCTTTTATCTTATAAAATTGATAAGTTTTAGTCTTTTATCTTATAAAATTGATAAGTTTTAACCTTTTACCTTATATTATGATATTTTTAGTCCATCATTGATACGAATTAAAAAAAATAACTCTCACATATTATTAAGTTATAATGTTCTGTTAGTTGATTGTTAACATTTGTTAGTATTTTTTTATAAAAAATTTAAAATTTAAATTCAATTTTATTTGTTAGTTTTATTAATAAAATGCTAATGGATGCTTACAGTCAACTAACAGAATTAACAGTTAATTAATAAAACTGACAGTCAGCTAACATAATTAATAGAACATTAAAACTTGATGTTAGATAAGGGTTATTTTCTTGAATTCGTACAAATAAGGGATTAAAAGTATCATAATATAAAGTGAGGGGTTAAAATTTACTAATTTTGTAAGATGAGGAGTTAAAACTTATCAACTTGGTAAGGTAAAAGGTTAAAAGTGACATATTATAATGTTAAGGGTTAAAACTTATCGATTTTGTAAAGTGAGGGGCTAAATGTTGGTTTTACCTCCAAGGAGGTGCGTGATAACAGAAATCAACGTGGGCTCCACTCGGTCATATGCCAACGCTGCAAGGTCACGTGAAAGGCGGCAGTATGGTCTTTTGCTTATCACGTGCGCCGAACTTCCATTAAGTTGCAAGAATTTTTATGTTGTCGTTGATAAATAATTCCATTTCTATATATATATATATATATATATAATGAGATAGCAGATTTTATTATCATTAGTAAATGAGGGCGTTCTAATATAAGATATTTGCCTTCAGTTAATGTTTATAAAATAATAGGTTTGCAATATATTATTTTTATAATATATTAAATTTTTATTTAAAATTTATATTTAAAAATCAAAATATCAAACTAATTTTATTAAAAAGGTTTGTTTAATTTATGTACAAGTTAAAAATTTATTAAATATATTAAAATAAAAATTAATTTATTAATTATTTAATTAAATTCATTTGATACTAAAATTAATATTAATTTTTACACTTTTTATATATATAATAACAAATTATAATAAATATATTCTTATTTTTTACCTTGATCATGTAAAAAAACCCTTATAAAAAATGAACAAAGAAACTATGTTTTAGTAATATAAAAATATAAACTATTTTTTTAACATAATTTTTTTTACAATAGCATAATTCACAGCTTTAAGTTGATCCTTCCTCTTTTTTTGCTTTTCAGCAAGTTGAAGAAAATGATTTTCAGCAAAAAAAGAAAAAAGTTGAAGAAAATGATTAAAAAGTTAATTTTCTCTTCAATTTATTTGGTGTATAACAATATTAAGAATATAAAATAAGAAATAGTAATAAAGAATTTTGAGTGGCAAAATTGTAAATTTAGCTTTGACTTGGGCAAATAATTTTTTTTTATATACTGTATCAAAGTATATTTAGGCAGCCGCTCTCTCATTTCTTCATCTTTTTCCCGGGATTTTCAACAAAACCAGAAACCATTTGTTGTTTCCGGCGCAGTTTCCCGGCGACAACTCATCCATCTCCCTTTCCTGGTCGTGCACGGATCCATCTCCACATGGATCTGAATCTGATCGGATCTCCTTTCACTTTCCAGCAACATTACTCCAGTTTGAAACGCCATCTTCTTAGCTAATTCGTTCCTTTGTTCTTTGTTCTTGTTCAAAGTTTTCTTAAACATGTATCCATTTTTGATAGATACTGCATTTTTTTTTCTCTTAGATTCATAAGCTCCAATCTCGATCTGAAACTGTTTTCTCCTAATCTTGATTTTGCAAACAGTCTTGTTTAGGATAAATTCTTCTTCAACGGAGTTTTCCGATATTCATCCCGTTTTCCAGAGGACTTTGGTTTAAGTGTATAGGAAGTGCAGAGAGATGACATCGGGAATAAGGATGCCAACATGGAAGGAGAGGGAGAACAACAAGAAAAGGGAGAGGAGACGGAGAGCGATAGCCGCAAAAATCTTCGCAGGTCTCCGGATGTACGGAAATTTCAAGCTCCCCAAACACTGCGATAACAATGAGGTCCTCAAAGCTCTCTGCAACGACGCCGGTTGGATCGTCGA